TCTTTGTGTGAACATTTGGGCGGTGTTATGCAAATCTTCCCACATAGTGATGTAGATATGTGGGGGCGTGTTAGAACGAGCCGTTTTAGGTAGGTGTGGCTGACTCTTAACTTTTATTAAGAATATCTCTTTGGATTTGAGACTTTAGTCTTTGCATCTTTACAGATCTTCTTTATGCACCAAGAGCTTGTAACACTCCAAAGAGAAAGGAAAAAATGAAATTGCATCATATGACCCCTTTAAAACAGAAACTATCAGCTATCAGGGTTGGTCACATGTTACAGCTGAGTAGTGATCTCACTGAAATTGGAGGCGAGTAATTGTTTAGTCTGTCTAAACCCAGTCAGCTATCTACCTAAATAGCATTTATGGCCATCGTTTATGTGCATAAAGACAGTTCACTGGGTTCTTCAACGTATAATGTCGGAGCATTTCCTCTTCATACACGATGTAGAGTCAAACATGAGACGATTTCACAACCTCTGGCTGAACATGACCAAGCGTTTGCACCGGCAAAGACTCAAAACCTCCTTCCACCTCAGTCAACTCCCAATAAATCTCACAAGCGTCTATTATAAAGGCGTTTTAGCTTCAAATATCTGTTCTCAGGTTCACTGGTAAACACATATGTCGAGTACAGCAATGTGCTAGGCTAACTGGCCCTTCACACTCATGCTTTAACTGACATAATGTAGCTTCTCTCGGGTTTTCAGCTACAAATTTTGTCCCCAAAGACCGCACATAACAGAGCTAACGCGTCAAAAAACAGCATAGGTTGGATACTTACCCATCGTGCTTTCTTTGCTGATATACGCTTTGATTACTGGTTATATCAACGTTGTAATCGTAACACTCTCCTCGTCTTCCAGAATTTGCTCCTCACAAACAATATGTCGGTGATCTACGGAGAGCCGAAGGAGACAAACTTAATGACAGCGTTTCCAATTTCTGTTCTACGAAACGCTGAGCAAATGAGCAAAATGCGAGCGTATCGTCATCAGGATGTGTCAGAAGTTATCGCTGTTCTTCTTCTTCTTCTTATGATGTTTAATGGCGGTTGGCAAACCAGCTTTTGGTGCATATTCCGCCACCTACTGGGATGGAGTGTGAGGCGCTGATATCAAGGGAAATGCTAATTCTCAAAAAAAAAAAAAAAAACTCCTACCTATATTTTATTATATAAATTTGTTATTTTCAGAAAATTAATAAGAGCTTTATAACCTTTATGAGAACTGTTTAACACATTCTGTAATGTCATAGAATTAATGCCGTCAGATTTTAATTCCTCTTTTAGTTATCACTGTTATATCGTTATAATATTTTTAATCTCTAACGTCTTAGTGAATTACTACATAATTACGTAATTACATAATATGATAAATATACATTTATCCCTAAAATAGGCCTATTCCATGGACACTTTTGCTAAATAGGCTACGCTTGTCTGTACACAAAGTACAAATATGTTAAACAAAAATTGGCTGAAGCAAATATTGTTTTTATTATTCTGTGCATATTAACACAAACAATACCAAGAGAAATGTTCAATTATTAAATACTAAGAAAACGTATTTCAATTATTTATCAGTATGATATTTAATAGCCTAATGTTTGTTTAAAGTCATATCAAACTTCTCATTTTAGGCTTTAAGGAATTTCCCCAGTAATATAAAAAATTACGTTATATAATTATTATTACTTTATATAATTATAATTATATAATAGTGCTGTCAAACGATTAATCGAGATTAATCGCATCCAAAATAAAAGTTTTCTTTACATAATATATCTGTGTGTACTGTGTATATTTATTATGTATATATAAATACACACACATACAGTATATATTTTGAAAATATGTACATGTATTTACATGTATATATTTATATTCATATAATTTATGAATATAAATATATTTAATATATAAACGTGACATATTTTTCTTAAATATAAACATGCATGGGTGTGTATTTATATATAAATAATAAATATACACAGTACACACACATATACTATGTAAACAAAAACTTTTATTTTGGATGCGATTAATTGTTTGACAGCACTAATAATCTATAGTAAATCTATGTAATCTATAATGAAAATTAGCCTACTGAAACACATATTTAACTTGAACTTGAAACTTATGATGAAAAATTCATCATCAGCTGCTCTCCAAGCTATTGACAAGATATTGCATTCAAGATAAGCCTGATTCAACAGGCCTGTTTTACAACATAATCATAATCACTTTAGAATTAGGTCCATTTTTTGATAAGGCTATATAGTCTATATTAGAACCTATATATTAGTCTTTCTTTCATTTCGTTTTCTGCACCAGACCCTATAAATTTCCTCTGCCCTTATGTGGCAATATGGAGCTCACAGTGGATTGTCTTTGCAACCTTGTGACTCCATTAATGCGCTCGGCTCGGCACAAATTGAACGTGACGCAATAACAGAGTGTGAGGCACCTGCACTCAATTCTCTGCAAGCATGTAGCGATAAATTATCGTACAGCTCCAGTCTTTGGGCCCCTGATGGCATTGCTTTCAATGAACACTTGGGGGCAACGTTGGATTAACTCAGTGAGGGCCCCGAAGGGGACGCACCACACAGAGAGATTTTCATCATGTTGCTGAGACACTGTGGGTTTACATTTACATGCACAGAAAAACAGCGACTAAGCTTGGTTTAGTGTGATGTGAAATAATTAAATGTATAGGGTCTTCACATCTGCAACCCTGCTAACGCTGCTGATGTCAGTATTCCTGCAGTGGTTTACAGTTTTCCACCAATTCCTAATTTAAGGACCATCAAACCTGATCTTGTGTAGCTAGGCAGTTTAAAAGAATGGGAAAATAATACAGCATCATTTATCAGTGCCAAATTTCAAAAGGTAAGCCGTGACCCCAAGAATTCCTATATCTGGCATAAGCAATATGTTTCAGTAAAGCTGTGTAACAATGCAGACACACAGCTCTTATTGTTTATATTATACAAAAATGAGTTTTTCTGTATTTATCGGACCCTGTAGTTGCCGTTCCACGAATAGAAAGTAATTTACATTTTGAAAGATTTAAATCTTGTATTCTGATCAAATTTGCATTTCTGCCCTAACAGTGAATTCTCAGAGTCAGACAAAGGAAGGAAGTAAGGCTTTAGGAATATTATAGAAATATGAATTGTTCTCCTGCATATTCATTTAAGCCTGCCAGCGCTCTCGTACATCTAATCAATAACCAGTCCTACATAATTGTGGCTATACGCACACATTTACACTTGACAGTACTACTGTGGCGTCTAGCATTACAGAGCCAACTAGTAATTAAGATTAAATACAGATTAAGTTCCCTTTAGACTTCGTTTAATTATAACATGCCGACTGTTCTCATTTTCTATTGTATATGCATGCTTGTTGATGAAAGCAACCTCGTAGACCACATAGTTTGCTTGTTAATTTTGGCTAATCAAGCCTTCAATGTATCATTTGCAAAATAACAAGATAACCATCGAAAGCACTTTGGAAGGCACGTCTGTGAATGCGGTTTCTAATTTGCTGATTCAATTATACAGCATATGCTAATGACCAGCCTCTAATGTACTGAAGAATGAGAGTTGACTGCTTGTCACACAGACGTCTATCTTTGGATCCCCTGCAAGCAGAGCTTTGTATCTTCCTAATAAAGAGATATCCAGATAGCAGAAGAGGGAGGGGCAGCTACTCAACAGAGATGTGTGGGCACAGAGAAAGTGATATGTCTTTATTAATAAACCATAAAATTAAATTCACACCGTTCCTCGCTCCCCACCTCCCTCTCTATCTGTCTCTCTTCATGTGGAGCCAGAAAGGTGGCACAAGTGATAGCACACTGTAAGCGTATATTTGAGAAATATGAGAGAGAGAGAGAGAGAGAGAGAGAGAGAGAGGTTGAAACATACTTTGAATTGCTGCTGGAAGCTATAACTCTTTGTCCATCAACTTCATTCGGTTGTTCAGTAGGTCTCTCTGCACGTTCCACTTGTTCTCTATGAGGGCAAGCAAGACGCTTGTGCCCCACATCCCCACACTCAAAACATTTCATGCTCCCTGAATTAGCATACACAGTGTAATATCCTCCTCCATGCTTTATCTTAAACGAAACATCCAAAGACTGTGTCGGAGAATCCAAAAACATGAACACTTGCCTCCTAAGTGAGATTACATGTTTTAAACGGTCATCTTTACATCCAAGAGTCACCGTCTTAAATCCACTTGCAAATTTTCCAAACCTACGCAATTCTTGTTCGATTAACTCATTAGGGATAAAAGGTGGAACACCTGAAATAACTACTCTCGTTGAGGGAACAGATAGCGGCGAAACTTGAACAAAAGTATCATTAATAAAGACTCCATTTTCAATCAAAGCATGAACCAAACGTTCCTCTTTCAAAAAAACAACAGCAGCTTTGTTCATCCGAGATGCATAAGATATACTGTCATAACCAACCTGTTCACCTACCGCAAGCAAAGCCTCTTCCATCGTGACCCCGGGATCCGTAATAAACCGAACCCCGTGCCCAATAGACAGCGGCGGCGTCACAAAGGACGCCATTCCCCGCGAACTTTCAAACAATACCACCAGCGCACCTCTCCGTCGTCTTCAAAAATGAAAAAGCAATAAATGATTTACCTTTTACATGCGTGTGAAAAAGATGAAAAAGCTCACCACAGCCGTGTACCAAAAAGTAGCCAAACGCTAGCTCTCCACCCGCAACCACTCACTCACACAACCGGAAGCCCGAGAGAGAGAGAGAGAGAGAGAGAGAGACGGTCCAGCTGTGCCAGATTTCATAAAAGCATGGTGCAAATTTTGCTAGTTATGAGAGTCACTCACAACCACCAGGCACCCAGATATGACAACGTGAGCCATCATTTTGTGTGGCAGGCTCTGATGCTATAATTGGGTGGTTTTAGATGAACTCCAGGGCTTGGATTGAAAGGGATAGTTCACCCCCAGAATTGAAAGGTTTGTCATGCTGTTCTAAACCTGTGTGCTGTTGTAGTTTCTGTGGAACACAAAAGGTGAATTGTTGAAGAATCTTAAAACGCTCTTTTACATTCAAGGACAGTTCATATAGACACCATATCTTTCAAGACATTCTCTTGTGAAAAAGAAGTACACTTTAGCATACTTTTAAAAAGAGTACTTACTACAGAAATTATATATTTTAAAAGAATATACCAGTGCAAAATGAATGTAATGTGTTCTGACACTTAAATGCAGGTTAATTGCAAATAAATTAAAATGTATTATAGGTTAAATTTATATTAAATGCAATTAACTGAACTTTAGAGTGCTTTTCCCACTAATGTAGGACTTTATATGTAATTTCATATATTGTCTTTGAAATATGGTCCAAACAAACTTTTTTTGTAAACTAAAATATACTTTTTATTCCCAATTTCTACACTAAAAATTGCTTGTAAATTTCACAAATAATTACAAAGAAACACCAAGCAACACACTATTTTGTGCAATTTTGAAAAACTGAAATAGCATTTTCTTGTCAAACCTGCTCCAATAATATTTATTTTATTTACATATTTTTTTACAGTGTATTGAAACTTGTATGTCATGTATTTAAATTTATTTGTAATTACACACTTTAATCAAATACTTTACATGTGCTATAGTGTGTTAGTCAGAATAAGTATACTTTAAAACACAACAGAAGATTAAAACATAATGATTTAAAATGTACTTTAAAGTAAATCTTTTATTTTGACTTTATTACAAAGTGCACTTTTTAAAAGTGTGTACTTAAGTGTTTTAAGAGACAGTCATGAAAGTGTGCTTTTATATCATTAATATTGTATTATCTGCAATACAGTTTTTTATTAAAAAAAAACATTCTTTTAAGATTTAAAGTACACTACAAATGCACTTTCAATACAATTAAGTGTGCTTCTTTTTCACAAGGGCTATACAATATAAAACACTTTAAATATTACAACTTG